GGTAAATAGCACTAGCTACTAGATAAATCCTTCACTAGTCAATGCCATCCATACAAGTTAGGATGCAGGACTTCACTAGTTAACTAGTTACTTCTGATATTTAACTTTCCAAGGATTCCAGTCTTTCTGCGGATAAAGGTATGGAAGAAATACCAARATCACAAATACGACTATCTTTACATGATTTTAATAAAATTTCAAAAAATTAAAATTATAGATTTAAAATCTTACAATAAATATTTTAGAAGTGAGTTAGAAATGTATATAATGTAATCTATTGTTTAGAAAGGCACAATGACAGTACACCCCAAAAGAAGTTCTTTGATGACGTCTGATAGATATATCAGTTTGTTACTGTGGTGTGACAATTTCGCTCTGGAATTTTACAACAACAACAACAAAAGGAATTATTTAGGGCTGATATTGCAACCAGCTTGCAGGCTGCATGGCGCTTAATTTAGGTTTAAAAATATATCAAATATATCATACATGTTTTAAAAAAACTTTGGTAATAAGTGCTTTTGAAGCATATTATGTATTTACAATGTCATCGGAAAATGATGCATACTGATAATTTCTAGCRTTAAATGTGTCTTTCTTGCTTCTTTAGTCTTGACTGATAAACGGCCATGGTATGAGTATTTTTAGATGTGTTCAGCATTTTCATGACAACTTCTTTAGCTATTTGATTTTGACCAATTTTCACAAAGGTTTTTTTYTGTACTCTAGAGATTCCTATCTCCCAGCTGACTACAGCATGGTTTGACCGACGGAGTCTTGTATGGTCCTAGTGAGAAGTTAACTGCRTTTGTCTAGACAATCCTCACTCTATCGTACCTTGTGTTTACACTGCAAGAAAATAAATAAATAATTAATAGACAACTCCAATGCAAGTAATGAATGACAATACCCAGCATCCATAGTAATCAGCGACGTCATCTCATAGAACAAAGCATGATGGGAAATTGCAATGCATATGCTATTCTTCAGAAAAAAGGCCTATTTGAGAAAAATTAGACTCCACTTTCAGGTTTTCACTTTTATTAAATTCATCGGAAAAGGTGTCCTTCAGTCGGAATATAGACTTCTGAGTCTTTTACGTCACTATTTGATTTTCAATGTATTGTGGGATCAGTTTCAAGAGATTACAAAAGAAATCCGGCATGTTCTGTCCCAAACATATCCTACAATGCATTGCGTATACGGTACATGACGTAAAAGCTTTTAAAAGATGTCTATATTSACTATAACAGGCCTGAATAGGTACCATTGATTATTACTGGTCATTACTAACTATATRTGACGTGCTAGATGGTGATGTTAACAGTAGCAATGAATCATAACCACTTACAATTTATCTCGTTTGATAATCTTCTTTCTAAAGCAGTACATCGCTATAAAGACWACTAAAGCAATAAAAGCCGCTGACAAGCAAGTAGCCAGGATTATGTGCTCTTTTCGTAACATCACATTTGTATTCACTTTGCCTGGAAAATCAATTTAGTTACTGATCAGTTTGATTTGAAATGATATGTATTTAAGTAGTCTCCTTGCATCCCGCACAGAAAGCCCGAAACGAAAACGGAGACTATAGTTTGCYGCCATAGGTTACTTAACCTCCATTGCAGACGTCTTATATGTACAGTCAACTCTCGCTATTACGGACACCCTGGGGACCGTAATTTAGTGTCCGCAGTAGCGAGAGTCCGTAGTAACGAGAGATACTTTCAATCATTTCTTTGTATTTTTCTCCGGGGATTCAGTATTTTTCTGTCCGCAATATCGAGGTGTCCGTTGTAGCGGGGTGTCCGTAAGGCGAGAGTTGACTGTAGTTAGCCGGTGCGCTCCCACATCGATGTGGGCGCTGAATTCGGCGGCATYTTGAACGGAATGTTAGATATTACTATTGTATCTAAAAGAAATTAGAAATGTTATTCCTACCTGTACTGGTTGAATTGGTTAGAACACTGGTTAGAACAGTTGTATTAATAATGGGATACGAAGACGAGCTAATAGTAGTTACTGAAGTTGAAAGTCGGAAAATTTCAATTACATTATTAWTATGTTGATAATATTTTGATAGATGATATTGATGTGCGGATGCGCTAACGCTAGTTGGTTTTGTGATGATTATGTGGTGTTGGTAATGATCAATATTACATGTTATGGTATTACTGTCAKGATATGTTGATGTGATGCGAAAAGGACAAATAGGAATGTTGTTATTGATGGCATAATTAAACCACATCATGAGTAAAGTGCACAAATCCGCTTAATTCTAGAGTTATTAACGGGTAAAAATGTCATAATATCAGAGAAAGAGATCCATTCAGGCAGATAATAAAACTAAATAACGTAAGCATGAAGTATCCTCCACTGCATATGGCAATTACCTGGTATCTGCTGAGTACTTGAGACGTTTTCGGAAACATTCGTAACCTTAGTTTTACTTGACGTTGTGATACGAGTTTGCTGTTTCCCTTGTGATGTCGTCGATTCTGGTTGTGTTTGGGTTGGTATTGTTGTGGTTTCTTGTGCAGTGCCTGTCGTTAAAGCTGTTGTTGATGGAGCCGAGGTCGTAGTAGGAGCTGAACTAGCAGCTGTAGATAAGGTTGACGCTGAAGTCGTGGTTGCAGCTGAGGTNGGCTCCGTTGTTGTCGTTGAAACCGTCGTTGTCGATGGCTCCGTTGTTGTCGTTGGAACTGTCGTTGTCGATGGCTCCGTTGTTGTCGTTGAAACCGTCGTTGTCGATGGCTCCGTTGTTGTCGTTGGAACTGTCGTTGTCGATGGCTCCGTTGTTGTTGTTGGAAACGTCGTTGTCGATGGCTCCGTTGTTGTCGTTGGAACTGTCGTAGTCGTTGGAGCGCTACTTGTAGAAACTTCAAAAGCATCAAATAAAGCAAAATGTTAATATAATTAATAGTTGTCTTTCATGCAACGTCGCACTCTTTAGCAAACCCAATTTATTTTTTTATCTCACCTGTTGCTAGGAAATCATATTCACTAAGTTTTATCTTTGCGCCCTTTGGAGTTGTGCAGGTTATGTCATCACCATCCTTAGCAAATTTGCTTGTGTTCACCCATGTTTGCAGCCAAMGAATGCGAGAGTCACAGACATATGGATTGCCTGATAACCGTCTAAAGAGAAACACAATCATATATAGAACGAGTTGGATTTCTTGAGAGTAAATATACACAGGCGCCCCAAGCTACAATATGTTTGCAATTATAGTCAGCATACATTAAAGGTTTTAAATCAATTTGAGTGAAGGGTACCACAGAACTTATACTTTGTACACAGACTACAACTTAAGGCTGATTTAGAAGGTACAACTTTTGCCTATAACTATCGCATGCAACATGCGTAAGTCATCCTTACAACATGGCTACAACTGTCGTAGAGTTATCAAACAATTGTTTTTAATCTCAACGACAGTTGTAGCCATGTTGTAAGGATGACTTACGCATGTTGCATGCGATAGTTATAGGCAAAAGTTGTACCGTCTAGCTATCGGCCTTTAAATAGACTTACATCTTTCCAGTAACGACTTTATCAAAAATTGTCTTCGCTTCTTGAGGGATGSTTGTCATGCTGTTGTCTTGGAGAAGCCTGAGGAAGAATAGCTACCTTAGCAACGATTACTGTAGTAACGGTATCGATAGACAAAGTGTCAAGACACGTTTATGACTTATTCTCTGCTCTTTCTCCTACACATGTCGATACTTACAAGTTTAAGAAGCCATTAGGAACTTTAAGGTCGAAAAGAGCTTTAGGGAACGAAGAAAGCTTGTTATCACTCAAGGATCTGTAATTGGACAAAACAAAGGTTTGTAACAGAAATAGATAGCCTGATGTATCGAAATTTGTGTGTGTGAAAAGTTTGAAAAAAAAAACAACAACAACAGAGCATTAGTTCTCATTACTCCCGTTCCAATAAAGTGCCTTTATAATAGTTTTCGCGTCAAGTTGTTGGTCATTGCAAGAATGCATCAAACCCAATTGTTGGACACTCACAAATAATTAAGTTGGGCTCCAGGAACCTTGAAGGCGTGTTCTGCAACCTCCGTTAATCTATTGTTACTCAGGTCTCTGAAAAAAGAAATATTGCATTGCACAAATGAGTCTAGCCCAGTATTTGTCGTAGTCATGAGAACACAACACCTCACTGAGGAATTGAAAAACTTACAGGTGAGCAAGTTTGCTTAATGATTGTAGTGATTCAACATCTATCCTTGTGAGATTGTTGTTGTTCAAAATCCTAGAATGCGAAAAGTGCGATTAACTCAAGTAATGCTGGAAACACTGACTACTACAATACTTACAGTCGCTGTAGGTCGACTGAGTTATTTAAGAAACCACTAGGTATCGTCTGAATGTTGTTCTTGGCTAAATTTCTACAAAAGCGAATTATAAAGCACATTCAGAAATCTGGGTCGTGAAMATTTGAGAAACATCAATTMACTTACAATTTCTTCAAATTTCTTAAGTCTTTGATTCCGTTCTGAGGCAGACTAAATAGATGATTACTTGACAAACTCCTGAAAGTTTGTTAAAARCAATATTAATGTTAGCGATATAGCTATAAGGATGCTCATAATAATGATGATAATGAAGTTAGAGTGCATGTTTYSGKTTTTACCCGTGAAACARGTGAAACRAACGTGTAAGCTGAAGTAWATTTCACGGTTTTTAAGAGGTAGACAAATCACTACCAAATAGTGTTGATTAAAAAGTAATTAAAAATAATTCAACAATTAAGATAGTCATAATTACGAAGGTATAATTAAATGGCAGAATAATATTAGGGATATAAATGAAATCAAACCTACAATGTTGTTAGTGATGTAAGTCCAGCAAAAGCACCCGACGAAACACGTCGTATTCCACTGTTTATTAGATTTCTATTGTCGAAAGAAAACAGCCGGTTAGTTCTCTGCTTATTCTATCGAAAAACTTTCAAATATTTTGAGCCTAGCTTAAGTGCTATAAGGACAAAAATAAACAACTTGAATTCATTATCATCTATGTCTGTTCAGTTTCACTAGAGACGCAAGAGCAAACGATGCACGCAGTGCATGAAAAAGGAGCAAGCAAGATATCCAAAAATTCATTTTTTTCCGGACTGCGCTTACGTTTGTACTTGCGCTTTCGATCTTGCTAGTGAAAACGAAATCATAACGCCAGTGCAACTTCTTGTGCTTGCGTCTGCGCTTGTGGCGCTAGTGAAAACCAGGTTTAWTCGATGATACGTTTAATATATCACTCACAGTGTATGGAGCTTTGATAATCCGTTAAAAACTCCATTGGTAATATTTTCTAAATGGTGATTAGAGAATTCTCTGAAAGGAAAAAAAGAAAAACAGTTTAACATATAGCAGGAAAAAAAAAATAAAAACAAATTTAGCATTTTACCTAATTACAAGAATTTACTGACAAGGTCATTTTCAAATAGATTATTTTGTTTCTTTTGTTTACTGGTTTTAGCGCGATATCAATGCTGGAACAAGCATGGATCACCGGAAAAAATCGCGCGCTTTAAACGTTGTAAATTTTTATGTATTTATAGTGTCCAAAATGATGTAAATTTGATTGGACACTTACAACATATTTCCATCAAATTTACAACCTTTAAAGCGCGCGATCCGAYTTTTTTCCAGTGTATTATATAAAAGAACCGCGCTTTTATAATCCATGGAACAAGCCAATCATGTTTCGTTACGCGCACCAGACAATCGATCAAATCTCTGTGATACACATAAATAGGTCCGACAACGTTTAGATCCGTCGTTTTGGAATTGTTGTCTGCGACATTATTTATGCATATTTACGCTGTGATTTCATCGTGTCCAACCTTATACAAACAGTCAGCACATTTGGTTKCTAATCTCTTCCGTTTAAAAACCATTTATTAACACATATGTGGTCAGTATGTTGAGTGTGTGTCCAAGAATAAAATCATATTGACTGACTGTACAAACTGAGACAGTACAAATGTACACTGCTATTGTAACCCTCACTGCTGCCGAAAATAGTCGGCAGTGTTTGAAGATTGATCGATGAAGTTCCGTATTCATAGCACATGGCTTATTACATCGGTKAAATGATTCAAACTTTTTTCGGRACGAAGCTCTTTTTCTGAACTTAAATAACATAAAAGCTTTTTTCCGGATGTCTTTCATAATAAGCTTGAAAGTGAATTTTTGAGCTTTTATAAAGTTTTCTTAACTCTTGAAAAAYTGACAGCTTTCTCTCTCCCTAACTGACATTCATGATCATGGTCGTGGGAAAAAGGCGAAGGTAGAGTAAAATAGATTCGTAGGTCGTGCACAAAATCCTGTGAAAGTTTACTTTATAAAGAAATGATAATTCATTTGAAAATATCAAACTAAGCCGGTTCAAAGTAACTCAATTGTTTCGAGTTCATCTTGAATGCATGCAGATCAAACAAAAGAAAGCGTTATGCGTCTCTGTCGCACTGCACTAATGATGCTTTTCTCGTCCTCGGGTATTTCTATAGCAATTAAGAAGTCATTCAAATAGTGATAATGATRATTTAAGTTACAAAACAATAGAGCTTCGTTACATAAGTGTCCAAATATTTTACTTTTTTATGATTTATGGCCCTGTTACATGCATCTATTGAATTATTTGCGTTCGGTACAAAATCGAATATGCAGGCTATAACACAAAATAAACAACATTTAAATCACTTACATAGTTTTCAGATTTGATAATCTAGCAAAGTAATTTTCTGTTAACTTTGTGATTTTTGTACTTGAAAGGAACCTGAAAGACAAAAAAAGAAACAGAAGTCAAGATAGAGCTTTCTCAGTACGAGGGCTCGTAGACAAAAGAGAGGAAATYTTTTTCAAAGGTAGAGACACTCAAAGACAATAAAGCGGTTTCATCTGTGAATTATCAAAAGCATGGTGATCGTTTTTTGCGAATTTTTCGAGTTAGGGGCCGGTCAACGACAAGAGAAGCCCTTATGAATCCCTATAAAAACGCCGATAATCAATCGGAATTTTACAATGCCCCAGTTTTATTGACATAAGAARACAAGCTTGAATGGTCTTTGCTTGCTCAAGACATTCTTTTAGAACCTCATAAAATGCGAGAAAAAGCCGACGAACTGTAAACAGTTCTTGAGAACAGAGACTCAAAGTTTGAAGGGACTGCTAAAAAGGGTTTTTGACTTCGCTAGAAMYGGGGTCTCAAGAAATTCATATAGATAGGTTACTAGGCTTGTCTTGTCATAAAGAAAGTTTAGCAAATAAAGTACATAAATTGAGCGATTGGGATAACTTAATGCGCATTTGAATTGATTGATTTTGCAAGCAATACAAAGTTTTGTTCGATCACACGATTGCGTGAATGGACGCTTCTTGTCAAAACAAAACACATTCAAAAAAGAATGTTGTTGAATAGATAAAACTAGAATAGYAGTACTTACAGTAACTCTGTATCTAATGGAATATCAGCAGGAAGGACTGTAAAATCCGCTTGGTCGCATTGTACATATTTTTGACTCTCCAGATCACCACATTGACAGACCGAAGGACATGTGTGGACTTGCCTCAAAGAAGCCACTATGGCGAAAATTGTACAAATGGCTTTGCAAGAGCTAAGCTTCAATATAAAGTTTCCTTCCATCYTTKGAAGGCTTAGRTGTTGCTATTACGATGAAATTTGATCAGCTTGCAAGATAAACACTTCGACCAAGCTGACAGAAACCCATATCGTCAACCTCATTGGTCACGCATGCGTAGTAGAGTCTTGCTCAGTCAACCAAAACTCATAACCCAACGTTGACTATTGTATCAAAAGAAAAGAATTTTCATGGCGGAAATGAATGGAAATTACACGCGAGAACTTTCATTCAATCTTAAACAAGCTCGGCCCTTCAAAGCTAAAACAATAGAGGTGTCAATGTAATTGAAAATCACTTATAAGAAATTTCAATTCCCAAGCGGGCATTTTTATACTTAACTCAATGCTAATRAGCTAAATACTTCATTTAATTTATTCATTTTATTTCAACATCSCAATAGCTCRTAGCACACCCTTTGAATGACGTTAATTTGGTGAGAAAGTCGGTGGAGTGAGGACAAAATTTCGTAACGGCTAAGGATATTTTACCTTTATTATTTCCGTTAAAAATTAGAGATGCCRTTTCATCCCACACACAACAGATTTGAGGAATTAAGCCCTGTTGGATGTAGTTTGCATTTCTAAAATATTTCCTAAGGGTGTCATAGTTGATTTTTTTTTAATTTCCATTCTTCTTTCAAAGGGTGTCGAGTCATAATACAGTCTAGTACCAATGAGGGTACCAATAATAACTGAAATAGTTTTTTCCGAGCTTGAAACTGAAAATTTACACTGTAGCTATTGTTGGCATAGGTGTACAAAATTGTACTAAAAAATTTGATTACTAAATTGATACTTGCCCATGTAGCAGAAAAGATCAGATGCATGCTTGCCGAGAAGAGAGAACGTGCACACTAAGAATTTAGGTTTTAACGGCAAGAAATTGCGGACATCTTAAAATTTTATCTAAAATTTCACCATTCTCGTTTTAGCAAGTAGATTGGYCTGCAGTTCCACCAAACGATATGGCTAAACAATATTATAATACTGGAGCGAATTTTACTGATACTGTAAAATTTCATGGCAGTACACCAAACACAAACCGATATTCCTGTTACAATAGGAGCAAAATCAGATTTGTCACATGACCAGTGTTTAAAACCTTAACTTGTCACAGAGTGAGGGACCCGCGAAGTCAGGATCGTGACGTAATGCCACAGGTAACCCGCAATTTTTCAGCGCTCRAGCAAATAAAGAGCGCGCTTACGTTTTTTCGTTCTGTTTTCGCGGATTTTTAATTTTCTTTCTGCCTGTCTCAACCCCCTTTCTAACGATTATTGCGCAGTCATTCCATGCACATACTAGTACTGAGCATTTTGTTGTTTTAGATTTCAGGACTAACAGAAATTACAAGATATGATAGATACCTCATTTTCTCTTGATATATTCAGACGGGGAATAAGGAAAAGAAAAGTGGATGAAACACTAAAAGAAAATTCATCATCCAGCAGATCACATTCTGTATTTAAAATCATTCTGTAAAAAAATGATAAATGGTAATTCAAACGTGCACTGTCATTATATACAAAATCGTACTCCAAGATGATAAAGAAATGCAGTATTAATAGCCTTTGCAATAAAAAAATGTTTTACAGGAATATAGTTCGATCCAAGCTTAACTTGATAACCTGCGTGGAAAGGCCAAGAAGCTGGAAGGRAGCAAGTTTTAAACAAGGTAACGTAACGACCGTAGTCATCATCAGGCTCTCTCGATGGGATAGTGCTACTGGCCCCAATCCCCTTCGAGAGAGCATGATACTCAGGCTAAAACAACAAAACAGTGACAATATACATAAATTTCCTTCAAAATTATAGCTTATGTTGAAACGACAATATCGGATCAATCGCTTTAGAAATTAGGTAACTCCTGTGGCGGAGCTCGGATAGCATCTGGTAAAAAAGAATCATTCTACGCGTGATAATCGTACACTACTGTCGTAGAGCAGAATCCTTGTTAACTAGCCTTGACGTTTACATTTAACTAGCTTGATAATTTCCATCAAATTGATTTTAGTACCATTATTCTATAGGTATGTTCCATAAATACATCAATGAAAAGTATCTCAGTGCTTATCATGATATTTTTGAGTCCAGCAATCACGAATCTCTCTAAATATGCCGTTGCAGTAGCTGTGATAGCTTTGAATTGATGTCCATGAGCAATATACACTGGAAAAAATCGCGCGCTTTAAAGTTTGTAAATTTGATGTAAATATGATGTAAGTGTCCAAAATTCTGTAAATTTGATGTAAATGATTTCCAATAAATTTACAGAATTTTGGACACTTAAATCATATTTACATCAAATTTACAACATTTAAAGCGCGCGATTTTTTCCAGTGATATTTAATAAATGATAAATTTTAGATGAAAACAAAACAAATCAAAATCCCTGAAGTAATTTGGCATCATCCTCATGAAWCATTCAAATTGAGATATTTTATAGCCAGTAATTAGATAAGAGGATTAGATTACCATCGCCCCAATTAACTCTTAAAATTCCCCAATATAGTTCCTCAGATCATACTTTCGCTATTCATAGAGCGTGATACTCTGATATTATCGAAATCAGAAAGATGTGAAGGTGCAGTCGGCAGAATCAGAAATTCTTTATGTGGTCTTTTCTAAATAACTCATGAATGAGCATCGAAAGAGAATTTTATGTCAAAGCTGTGTGCTCGCTCCTCGTTTAATCTCCTGGATATAAGATTTAATTCCAATAAGATAGCTATCGAAGATTATGCTTTATAAATTACAATGGAGCGCTTGAAGACCATAAATATTCTCCCGATGTTTGACCCCACGTAACTTGCATATCTATAGCTACTGTATGTTTGATTAGCCTCCAGTTCACTGTCAATAGTAAGATTCAAGGCACAACATTGAACGATATTGACTTATTTTTGTAGTTCTACAGATAAGGGCGCGCTCTTTTCTGTGGTCGCGTGGCAAATTGATTAGAGGGTGTTGGCGTCACGTGCGAACAGTGACGACGAATTATCACAAGCCGCCGCCAATGCACATGCGGTTTTTATTCATTAATTRATTTATATATGCACAATATTTTGACAAGCAGGTCCGGGTCAGAGGGGSTCCTTTAAA